CCTAGAGTTACTCCTTGGTGTCATGGTGTGCCTAGAGTTACTCCTTAGTGTCATGGTGGCCTAGAGTTTCTCCTTGGTGTCAGGGTGTGCCTAGAGTTACTCCTTGGTGTCTATCGGATCCAGTCAGAACAGACCAGCTTCCTTTAAAGTTACCATTTGGGGATATTAATGAATTCACATTTACTTGTCTCCATGTGGTAATTGCCACAGTCTGCTAGCCTGCCGTAACAGAACACCGCAGACGGGGCAGCTTTTACAATAGCCACTTGCCCACAAGTCCTAGAGGCTGGAATTTGAAGTGACGGCCTCCCAGGGGGCTCCTGACGTAGGCTCTCCTGGTGGGGGCTCTCCTAGTGGGGCCTCTCCAGGTGGGGCCTCTCCCAGTGGGGGCTCTCCTGGTGGGGGCTCTCCAGGTGGGGCCTCTCAGTCTGGGCTCTCCCGGTGTGGGTTCTCCCCATGGCTTGCACGTGGCACCTTCTTGCTGTGTCCTCACAGGCCTTTCCTCTCTGTATGCAGAGGGTGAGCTCTGCTGTCTCTCCCTCTTCCTGTAAGGACACAGTCCTGTTGAAGTTGGGCCCCACCCTGGCAACCTCATTTAACCTTTATTACTCAATTCAAGGGCCTGTCTCTAAGTACAGTCCCATTGGGGGTTAGGACTTTAACATATGAATTTGTGGGGCCATAATTCAGTCCATAACAATGACAGTATGGTGCTTATTTACAAAACAATTAAGGCTCCTTCTCTGGAATAGGTTGCCAAGCTCAGCCAACTGGTGGTTGTGGGGCTGTGTTGTGGTCCCTGGGCTGTACTTTCTCACTGCTTCTGAAGCTGAACCACAGAGTACAGAGGAGATGGAGTTGGGAGAGAATCCACTCTGTTCCCGCTGGGTTCAGGCTGTTGGTGAAACTGGGTCCCACACACAGCTGAGAGCACAGAGTCGGGCGTGATTCTGTGTAGGTAGATGGAGGTGTGGGCTTTTCGTGGGACTGTTAGTGGGCCTGAGAATAGGAGGAAAGCTGATTCTAGGTGTGACACAGATGGCTCACTCATTTCTTTAGGGTCCCTTGCAGTCCCCAGATTAAAACCAAAGCTGTCATCAGTGACAAAGCAACTGCCCTAAAAGGTTTGGGTCATAGCTGCAACATATAATGGGGCCACTGGGAGGAGGAAGTAAGTGGTGGGGTTGGCACCCAGCTCTTGGTTTCCTCAGAAAGGATTTATGTGCTGGGGTTGGCCTTTCTCATTGACAAAATCAGCCCAATTCACGTAATAGCTTTACTTTCCAGTTTCTGGGCTTGAAAAGATGGGATAGGATTTGACCTGGCTCTGCCCACAGGTCACCTGAGCATGTCCTTTTACTGATCCTGTGATTGGCCTGGATGGGAAAGTAGCACTAAGAGCACCTCCTCTCTCCTCTTGGGGTGCCATAGTGCCAGACTGTGCTGAGAGCACCTTCTCTCTCCTCCTGGGGTGCCAGACTGTGTGTTCAGAATGTTAAAAGAATGACTGTGTTTATTTTTTGCCTCCTAGTGAGAAAATGCTAATACAGTCAACTCTAAATTAGTCCTGCGCACAAGCTTTACAATATCCATGAAGAGTTTAGACACCAACCTAGCTGGCTAGTATGACCACAAGCCTTTAGGGGGCACCTGGAAAATTCAATTTTATTTTAATCTTAGCTTAAGGAAAGCATCAGTAGACACACGCATTCCAATGCCATTCCAAATCGACTTTCTCATTCCTTAGTATTTCAAATTCTCCAGTCAATTTTACTTGAAGTTGGTTCCTCAGGCCACACAGTTGCCTTGGAGGTGGGTATGATTGGAGGGCTGAAGATAACAAACAACTAACCCTGAGCTTTTCCAAGAGGATAGGATTTGCTAAGCGCAGGAGGCAAGCGCAGGGCGGGTGAGAGAGCCACATGGCAGTGTGATTCTGAAATGCCGAACGCTCTCAAACCCATGATGTTACACTCTGGATGCTCACAGGAAAGCTTTGTAGTAGACTTTGTCTTTTTTAAAACTTCAGCCAATGGCGGAGCTGATTTCTCTTCCCTGATCACACATCAGCTGCCCATGGAACTGAGGGTGAAAGCTAACCAGAGACTAAAGCCCCATCAGGCAGAGTCCACAAACCAGGACACACCCAGAACATCAGTTGGTTTGGAGTTACAAGGGTTTAAAGTTTCCATCTATTCAATGCATATTTTTGCTCTTAAGTATAGTGCTGAAAATCAACATCCTTAGGTGATAACATAGCACTTTAAATCCTTCTATCCAGCCGCACAACCAAGTGCTTACTGTGTACATTAAGGAAAAGCCGCCCTGAACATCAGCAGGTGGTTTGACCCCCTCCCCAGCTGTGCCGGCCTGTGTGGAAGGGGTGTGTGGCTGTGTACGACACACCACTTGTTAGTTAGAAGACATTATTCTTTTGACATGTTTGTGGGAAGAAAACAAACTCTGTAAGATAATTAAAAGGTGTTTATTCTGAACTGAGTATGAATGCTGCGCAGCACAGTCCCAGAACTCCCGAGAGAGAGCACCAAGGCGGGCGGGTGACAGTCAGACAGACGGGACTAGAGGTGAGATGGTGAGTCGACATACGGAGAGAGCACCAAGGCAGGGGGTTACAGTCAGACAGGCAGGACTGCAGGTGAGATCATGGGTCAACATATGGAAGGTTTACAGTGGTTTTGCCCAAAAAGGTGAGACATCTCAAAGCCGGGACGTGGGTGGATTTAGGGATTCTATAATTTGTAACTGGCTACAGGAATAAAGCTTTGTCTAAAAGCCTAGAGTTGGTAGAGAGGGATGCTAAGATAAGGAGACTGCTGGTCACAGAGAAAGCTGCAGTGGACCCCCAGTGATCTTTAAGCAAAGCAATGGCCTGCAGGTGTGACCTGGCCTTTGCCTCACATGGCCTCGCATGGGTAATTCCAGACTCTAATTTGATATGTTTTTGCCACAAAGAGGGGCTTTTTCTTAGTATGTCTTCTGATCTCTGTTAACACCAGTGCTGGTCAGTTGTAGTGCCCAGACTCCAAAACGGAGGAAGGGGGCTCAATGAAGTGTGTCCAACTTTACTTTTCATTATGGCCAAGAAATCAGCTTTAAGGTTTTCCTGTGGTCCCCTTGGCAGAAAGGGGGTTCAATCAGTCAGTGGGGGCTTAGGATTTGATTTTATTTTTACAACAGATCTTCCTTTCACAATAAAAGTATATCATTTCCAATTAATATGTCTTGTCTCCCCACACTCTTTTATGTGCCATAGGTCAGACTTGGGTCCACGCCCAGCCCTTGCCATTTGCATACTTCACAGGTGCTCCAGAGTGACCTGAGTCCTTACGTTAAGGCACCTCTGGGGGCTGGGGGAGGATGACTCAGCTTCTGAGGCTCAGTCTTGCTTGGGTTCAGTGGATCCACTTCACCAAGGATTGTAAGATTGTGATTTAGTAAATTCAGAAGGCAGCTAACTAAAAGATGTAATCAGTGATTACCCTAAAGTTTTTGTTCTAGGTATTTTTGCCATTGAAAAATCAAACCATTTCCACTATCCAAAATAAAGCCGTTTCATCTGCGTCAGCATTTCTGCATGTCTGTTCTGCCTTCCCCTCCAACAAACACACACATGCACACATGGACATGCATGCACACGCACATGCACACATGTAACCTGCACACATACACGTGCACACACACACACTGCACACATGTAACCTGCAGGTGCACACACATGTAACCTGTACACTCATACCGCACACGTGTAACCTGCACACAACAACATGCACACACATAACCTGCACATGTGCACATACAACATGCTACCATTTCAGCCTGAAGCTTCCCAGCTCTGTGAAGTCTGACCCTGACCCCATCCCACAGACTCTCCAGGTGTGCCCCCAAGTGCCAACGCTCACCATCTGTTTAGAGGATTCAGTTTCGTGGCATCGAGCCTGGTGCAGGAGCCCGCACAGCAAGGCCCACACAAAGTCCCAGTTCACCCGATCGTGCAGGTAACTCCATATGCCTCTGCTGGGTCGAGGGTAAGGGGCATGTGGCTGAAGCCTGGCATGGGGTCCGCCACATCCTCCACCAGCCATGGTGCTGGTGCCTAGGGTGAAGGGGCAGCAATCTTCCCCTTCCTGACTCTTGCTGTTGCTCCCAAGTGTCTGCCATAGTGATGCTTGCAGTGGTCCCCAGGGTGATCTGCACCCTACTTCACACTCATCTTAAAGGAAAGTCCTTGAAGAAAGTCACCACCAGTGTCTATGGCTGGAAACCTGGGCATCTTTGATGACAGCAGTTTGATTTGTGGGTGCCATCTTTGGGACACCCACGGAAGTTGTGACCAGAATACAGAGAGCTCTAGACGGAGTTCTAACTAAACCCATTTAAGAACAGCCAGGAAAAATTGGATGTCACTAGATTTCTATGACACTTCTCTCCCTATTGCCATTAGGAAAATACAGCCTGTGTGAAGTGGACACTCGCTGTGACAGTGGACACTCTGCTGCTGGCATCTAGTTCCTGTGGGGAGTGGGTGGCATGGGGTGGTGGGTGCTGGTCAGGCCTGCCCCGAGATTGTTCTGTCCAGATTCTCACTTTGAATGCAGCATTGGACCCACATGCCCAGCTCTGCAAGCATTTCTGCCTTTTCATTTCCACATTCTCCTTCTCGTAGACCCGTGGGAAAGAGACACAGCCACCCAGTGGACACAGAATGATCTGATGTCTAAAAGTTAAGAATCACAATCCAAGGAATCCAGAGAAGTCGGGATTTAGATTTAGAACCAGCACTAAATAGCTCTGTGACCTTGAACAAAGGAATTCATGAACTCCGGGCCTCAGTATCCCCCGTTCAGCCTGCACCTCCCTGTGGCCCAGGCTCCTGAGTGTGGGTGGCTGTGACTTTGTGAGAGAGCTCTGGCACCTTCTCTTCTCTTGGTCTCCCCACAGCAATTACATGGGAACAACGTCCACTTTACTGATGGCTACGAGATCAAAGAGGATATTGGGGTGGGCTCCTACTCCGTGTGCAAGCGATGTGTGCACAAGGCAACTGACACAGAGTACGCCGTGAAGGTGAGATGACGTGCTTGCAGGGAGTGCCCTCTGCCAAATGGCATAGGTGTGAGGATGGTGTGGGTGTGAGCAGCAGGTGTGAGCATGGTGCCTGTGTGAGCAAGTGTGAGCAAGCTGCATGTGTAAGCATGGTGTGGGTGTGAGCATGGTGCCTGTGTGAGCAGCAGGTGTGAGCATAGTGCCCGTGTGAGCAGCAGGTATCAGCATAGTGCCCATGTCAGCACACTGCATGTGTGAGCATGGTGTGGGTGTGAGCAGAAGGTGTCAGCATAGTGCCCATGTGACCCCAGTTCAGGTGTGAGCACAGTGCCCGTGTGAGCCTGGTTGGGTGTGAGCAGCAGGTGTGAGCATGGTGTGGGTGTGAGCAGCAGGTGTCAGCACAGTGCACATGTGAGCACGGGTCAGGTGTGAGTACAGTTCAGGTGTGAGCACTGACCCCAGTGGGAACTTCTGAGCATGAGAAAATGTCCTCTCTGTGTGCCAGTTTCCAAGCTCTGACGGGATGGAGTTTAGTTTGCTCTGATGTGATGTCACCCATTAAAGGATTGTTTCCCAGCTGTGATATTGGGTTATATCCAACTTGTAGGAACTGGCCTCCTTCAATAGCTTTATTATAACATATACCAAGAATTAAAGCTTTGGGCCCTTATCATTTTGCGAATATAGAGTTGAGGGACAGGCATAGCATTTGGCAAGGGAAGGAAGGAAAGAAGGAGAGAAAAGAGGGAAGGAGAGGGATGGAGGAAGCCACTAAAAAGGAATCAGAGAAATAAAAAGAAGTCTAAGCTGGAATTATCTGCAAAAACTTCAGCAGGGAGCAAGTAGTGTTAGTGCCAGCCATCAAAACAGTACAGTTGTCTATCATCCGACTTGATCGTCTCTGCACAGTGATTTTAGTTTCTGTAATTATTGCTAGATTAAACATTTGATCTGGGAATCCAGAATACCAGTTTCTAGAGTTTTCTAGTGGTAAAATGTAAATTAAAGACAAAGCTTCCTGCTAAAGACAGAGTAGTTTATGTAACAAGCATACTCTGCACATCCTCTGAGCAAGGCAGCAAGTTTTGCGCCAAATGCCACCACTGTCCCACAGAGCTGGACCCCAGTCTCAAGGAGCAAGATTCCAGCTATGCTGCCACCATGACTAGAACTGTTCTGGCCTGTCCCCAGACACGTCTGCAGCCCCTGGTGCTGTACCAAGAACATCTGGGGTGATAGACCCTGCCTTGCCAGGCAGGGGTGTCAGAGGAGTAATTTTCATCCGTTGATTTTCTTGATGGTTCAAATCAGTGACTGCTATGAGATGGCTCCAATTCTATTCACAGCTCCATGGCCATTTTGTGGAAAATGCCCAGCCTCACCATAAAAGACATCAGCCAAAAAAATCTCAGGTGCCTGGGTTTAGTTTGGGTCAGGAATTTATGGATTATTGGCAAATTTACCTTGAATGTCTCCCAGCAGCAACAAAAAAGAAACGTTTAAGTATGGAGTAGCAAATTGTGAATCCCTCTGATAAGCTCATGTTCGTTCTACCCAACAGCAGCTGCCCCTGCAGATCAAGTGTTTCCTTATCCAGGGCTCCCTCGTCCTCGCCTGTCCCCCATCCTCCTCCACCTGCTGCCCGCATTTTCCTCTTCACAGTCCACGTTGCCCCGTCTGTGTGTACAGTGCCGCTGGCACGTCCCCTAGGGAGGCGAGGGCTTTGTTTGGTTTTGCTGTAGTTCTGTCACCTCAAGAAAGTCTGATGCTGGCAGGAGCTAACTAAGTCTTGGTGGATAAATGAAGAGGTTTCTCATCTTCATTTATTATCATACTTGGCATTGTCAAGGGTAAATGCTGATTAAAAGGATTGTGAGTGAGGAACTTTATTTTGGGTTGGAGTTTTCTAAACCACAGGTTGTAATATAATGGTTCGACAGAGTACTTCTCGCCTATGGAATGCTCCGTTCCGCACGGGCCCTTGTTCAAAGGAAGCTGGCCACCGTCATTCATTGACACAACTGTATTTGGACACTTTCTACATTCAGGACTAGGTTTTAGAGAAGAGCACAAAGTCACTGTAGGGAACTCAAATGTAGCCATTTCAGGATTTTATTGATCATAGAACCAGAGGCTATTGCAAAAAAGGCTATGTAACTCAAGAATTTGAAGATAATGAGCTTTGCTGCTGTTTCGGCTTTTTCTCCCAGCCTGTTATGTCTCAGATATGCAGGCCGGGCCCACGGCCTGTCCATCAGCAGTTCTACTTTTCCACTTTGTGCAGAAGGCTGCACTGGACATGGACTTGAATCGTCACTGAGGCCAGATTTCCCTGCGGGGAGGCACGTGCCTTAATGCATGGCCACCCCACCTCTCCAGTCGCAGATTTGGTTATGTTCCTGACAAGAAGTTCCTTGGTTTGCCTTAGCAATAGAGTGAGATAAAAATGAAGTAAGCTCCTTAGAATTGTGTGAGCTCTTTTTTTTTTTTTTTTTTTTTTAGAGGAGCCTCAAGCTATCCCCCTGGGTAGAGTGCCATGGCATCACAGCTCACAGCAACCTCCAACTCCTGGGCTCAAGCGAGTCTCTTGCCTCAGCCTCCCAAGTAGCTGGGACTACAGGCACCCGCCACAACGCCCGGCCATTTTTTGGTTGCAGCCATCATTGTTGTTTAGCGGGCCCAGGCTGGGGATTCGAACCCGCCACCTTAGGTGTATGTGGCTGGCGCCTTAGCCGCTTGAGCCACAGGCGCCGAGCCTGTGTGAGCTCTTAATCACAGAGACGGAGTGTGGCTGCAGTTCACACAGTACAAGCTCCGCCACCTTCCTGGGCAGAGCTGCAAGCTGCATTCATAGCAGACCATGGAAAATAACGTTAGTGTCTCTGTTCTCATTTCCATACTGTGTATGCAATTTGTCAGCAAAAAGAGAAATGGAATTAAGACAGATGTTTGGCATGAATAGGGCTTATTTTTAGAAGCAGAACTGATTGGCATCTAAATTTTAACTTTTTCCACCAGAAAAAAACTGAAGTTCTTTCCTGAGGTCATTTGTTTAAATTAAGTTTATAGGAGGAGAAGGTTATCGTTAAATTCCATGATTGATATGTGTTCTGCTATCCTTGTTTCAAATATATTGATCCTTTTGGTAAGTCAGGAGACCCCCTTCCTGGCAGGGTACCTCAATCATGCCCTCTGCTCCCATGGGGAATGCATAGCACCTATGGGGCAAACAGCACTCAGAATGGAAACAGTGCCTTCCCAGCCCCACTCCTGCTGTCCCCACCTCCGAGGGAGCTGAAGAGCCGAGGACATGATTAAGGTGGCTCCAAAGGGGTTAGCCACCTGTTTCCATGGGATAGAACAATCACACCTGTTATCCTAAGACACGGGGTGCAGACACTGGGAGGGGCAGAAACAGAGCACGTGTTTCTAGGCCACTGTGGCACAGCCAGCCTGTGCCCTCCAGCCCCTGCGTCTCCTGTGAGGACCCAGAATCTCACTCACCTTGCTGGCACATAGTGCAGAGCAGGAGCAGAGGTGCAGTGGCTGGAGGGGCTTCTCGGGTGGAGCAAAGCCTACAGTGCTGGGGAGCACGTGTTCTATTGTCTGGGGTACGTGGGAGAGACCTGCAGGTCCCCATCACCACACACCCTTGTCATGTCTCAGAGTTCACGTCTAAGGCTTTCCCTCCTCTTTTTAAGTGTACAGCCTACTCTGGGTGGGGAAGAAAGGACAGGCTGAAAGTTTCTAGGCTACTTGAAGTCCTCATGGGCAGTGTGTAGCCATGGGGGTGGGGAAGCTGCTGGGGCCAGACATGACCCAGACCCACATCCGAAAGGACCCCAAGCCCCTGCAGCTGGGCCCACAGGGCACTCCCATGTTTGTTCCAGATCATCGACAAGAGTAAAAGAGACCCCTCAGAAGAGATCGAGATTCTCCTGAGGTACGGCCAGCACCCGAACATCATCTCCCTCAAGGACGTAAGTGGCCTCCCTGAGGCAGCCGGGTCTCCTGGCCTTCAGCCTTTTCAGGCAACACAGAAGGGCTGACACTGATCTACTGCCAGCTCTCTGACCCTGCAGCCCAGCCCCTGGTGCCCGAGGCCCGGAGCCTGAGGTCGTTCCACTTTCTGCATCCAGCTCTTAATCACAGAGATGGAGTGGGGGGGGGGGTCTTATGTGTGAATTATCACACAGCGAGTTGTTCCTTCATAAACATAACTAGAGTGGAGGGGGAGGAGGTGGTGAGATGGGGCTGGTCAGGTCTGATGCCCAGACAGGAGTCTCAGCTGCTGCGGAGCTTCTGGAGGCTTCTGTGGCCGCCCTGTAGGGACATTACTGGTGCTCTGCCCAGGAAGGGAGGCAGCAGGAGTCAGCCACACTGTGCCACAGGAGGCTGGGGCATGGGATGAGGACGGGGGGTGGGGGGAAGAAACAGACTTTCTTCCCTGAGCCCCAAAATGATTCTGGCATCACATACCCAGAGCCCCAGGTCTAAGAACTGCCTTCGTGCCCCTGAGGTACGGTGACAGGCGTGTGCATCTGGTCTCAATACACCAGCTTGGCATAAAAACAACCAGAGTGTGTTTTTTCTAATTCATGAGACAAAAGCTAGTGTGGACCAGAGCTGCAGCCCTGGCCACTCAGTGCTGGTCCTGGGTGGGGGGGGCACAGATGTCACCAAGAAGGGGTGAGGAACGCAGGTACCAGGCTCCACCCGCCTGGTGGGACCAGGGTATGCACTAAACAGGATCCCCCAAGATTCGATGCCCATTAAACTTTGGAAAGCCCTGCGCCAAGGAACTGCCTCTGTGTGGTGCTGTGACAATGTCCCCGTCTCTTAACAACTGAGCAGCTCACCTCAGAGGGGCCAGGCAGCATCTGTTGTTGTCATTCCAGCTGAGGACTGGCCCATGCACTCTGCAGGCCCAGCCACGCAGGCCCTCTTCCCCAGCTGGTTAAGGCTGCTTTGTTCCCTCGAAGAGCCATTCCTGGTGGGATTGGAATGGCCTTGTTTTTCCTCCCCTGCCCTGTTCCCCAAGTCTCCCCTTCTGGAGTGGCTGCTCCTTATTAACCAGCAGGGAGGCAGTCGCAGTGCCCCCCCAACCCCTCGTCTCTGAGGTCTGTGTGCCCCTTCTGCCCGCCAGGTCTATGACGATGGCAAGTATGTGTACCTGGTGATGGAGCTGATGCGTGGCGGGGAGCTCCTGGACCGAATTCTTCGGCAGAGATGCTTCTCAGAGCGCGAGGCCAGTGACGTGCTGTGCACCATTGCCAAGACCATGGACTACCTGCACTCCCAGGGGGTGAGACACCCCCACTGAGGGTGGGGACCTGAAATCACAGAGGACTCTGTGGGTTCTAGAGCTGGTAACTCAGAGTGTCCTCAGATTCCTTCCACACCACTGTCAGCCCTCCTTTGTCTCTGTAATATCAGACAGGCAGCAACAGGTGGACAAGAGAACAACAAACAGGTGTCACTCACTCCCAGGGGCCCTTTACCTGTGCTGGAACACTTGGCCACCAATAGCTCAAAGGGGCAGGTAGATTTGGGCTGGAACACTTGGCCACCAATAGCTCAAAGGGGCAGGTAGA